CAATGCAGTCCTTGGTTAAGAGTTACTCCAAAAATTACATGATGGGAATTATTCCTTCAACAGACTAAAAAGTGATTTAAAAAAACTATAGCCTTATTTACTGTTGGGAAATGAACAGAAAAACGTGACTCTTTGCAATCCCATGGACCCGAGCCAGCCAGCCTCCTCCATCCATGGGATTTTCCAGGCAAGAACACTGAAGTGGGTTGGAACTTTCTCCTCCAGGGGATCCTCCCAACCCAGAGACCAAACCCGTGTCTCCTGCACTAGCAGGCAGATTCTTTAACACCAAGCCACCAGGGAAGCCCAAGATGTTCACAGTAAGGTCTCTTAAAGTGAACATCAGGTCACATCCTTTAAGTATGTACATTTATATTTGTCAAGTATTCCTCAATAAAGCTGGAAAAAATAAAAGACTCAACTTAAAAAACTAAAAGTCAGATGAGAGCTTCCCTGGTGGCTCCGTGGCAAATAATTCACCTGCCAATTCAGGAGACATGGGTTTGATCCCTGGTCCGGGAGGAGCCCACGTGCCTCAAGGAAACTAAGCTTGTGTGCCACGACTACTGAGTCTGCTCTTTAGAGCCTTCAGGCTGCAATGATGAACCCACGTGCCCTAGAGCCTGTGCTCAGCAACAAGAGAAGCCAGCCATCACAGCGAGAAGCCCGTGCACCACAGCTAGAGAGTAGGCCCTGCTCTCTGAAACTAGAGAAAACACTGCAAGTAGTGAAGACCCAGCACAGCCAAAAATAAATAAATTTAAAAATTTCTTTAAAGTCAGATGAAAGATTTTTTTTTTAATATTAGGATTTCATTTCTGACCCCATAATAGAAACTTGGGCCTCTAATTAATTGAAGAAGAATTTGAAAAGATGTTCTCTGGTCTTCCAGTTCTAAGTAAAAGATACTTTATATAACAAAGCCTATAGTGAATATGGTATCATGCACTTCAAAATTTGCTAAGAGGGGAGATCTCATAGTCAGTGTTCTTACCACAAAAACAAACAAACAAAGCAGAAACAAAGGGACCCAGGAAACTTCAGGAAGTGTTGGGTTTGTTTTGTTACTGTGATGGTGGTGATGGTGTCACAGGTGTTTGCATATATCCAAATTCATCACGTTTTACGTAGCGTGTCATGTGTTCAGTTGTGTCTGACTCTTATGACCCCATGGACTGTCGTCCACCAGACTCCTCTGTCCATGGGATTCTCCAGACAAGAATACTGGATTGGGTTGCCGTTTTCTACCCCAGGGGATCCTCCCAACCCAGGGATTGAATCCATGTCTCTTGCATCTCCTGCATTAGCAGGTGGATTTTTTACCTTTGTGTATCAATTATACCTCAGTAAAGCCATAAAACAGAGAAGGCAATGGCACCCCACTCCAGTACTCTTGCCTGGGAAATCCCATGGATGGAGGAGCCTGGTAGGCTACAGTCCATGGGGTCGTGAAGAGTCGGGTACAACTGAGCGACTTCACTTTCACTTTTCACTTTCATGCACTGGAGAAGGAAATGGCAATCCACTCCAGTGTTCTTGCCTGGAGCGTCCCAGGGATGGGAGCCTGGTGGGCTACCATCTATGGGGTCACACAGAGTCAGACACGACTGACATGACTTAGCAGCAGCAGCAGCAAAGCCATAAAAAAGAAAAACTGAATCCCATGATTTTTAAAACACATTAAAAATTGTCCTCACAAGATAGTTAATATAATTCCCCATGCTATATATTAGGACCTGTTGTTTATACATTGTAAATGTATAGTTTGCATCTACGAATGCCCAACTCCCAGTCCATCCCTCTCCCTCCCCACCCCCTCCACTCCTGGCAACCACAAGTCTGTTTTCTATGTCTATGAGTCTGTTTCTGTGTAAACAAAATTTTGCAATTATTGTAAATGGAAAGTAACATTTAAATTGTAACAGTTCAGTCGCTCAGTCGTGTCCAACTCTTTGCGACCCCATGAACCACAGCACCCTGGGTCTCCCTGTCCATCACCAACTCCCGGAGTTCACCCAAACCCATGCCCATTGAGTCGGTGATGCCATCTAACCATCTCATCCTCTGTCGTCCCCTTCTCCTCCCGCCTTCAATCTTTCCCGGCATCAGGGTCTTTTCAAATGAGTCAGCTCTTCACATCAGGTGGCCAAAGTATTGGAGTTTCAGCTTCAACATCAGTCCTTCCAATGAACACCCAGGACAGATCTCCTTTAGGATGAACTGGTTTGATCTCCTTGCAGTCCAAGGGACTCTCAAGAGTCTTCTCCAACACCACAGTTCAAAAGCATCAATTCTTCAGCACTCAGTTTTCTTTATGGTCCAACTCTCACATCCATACATGACCACTGGAAAAACCATAGCCTTGACTAGACAGACCTTTGTTGACAAAGTAATGTCTGCTTTTCAATATGCTGTCTAGGCTGGTCATAACTTTCTTTCCAAGAAAACAAAAACTTTAATATAACAAATTTTATTGGATTATAGTTGATTTAGAATGCTGTGTTGGTTTCAAGTATACAATATAGTGGGCTTCCCAGGTGACTCAGTGGTAAAGAATCTGCCTGCAAGTGCAGGAGACGAAGGAGGCTCGGATTTGATCCCTGGGTCGGGAAGATTCCCTGGAGGAGGGAAAGTTAACTCACTCCAGTATCGTTGCCTGGAAAATTCCATGGACAGAGGATCCTGGTTAGACACAACTAAGTATGCACGCATTCATACAATATGGTAATTCAGTATTTTTGCATATTATATTCCATTATAGGTTATTACAAAATAATGGGGATAGTTTCCTGTGCTATATAGTAAATTGTAGTTGCTTATCTCTTTTATAAATAAGAGTTTGTATCTATTAATCCCATAGTCCTAATTTGTCTCTCCCCTCTTCCTTATCCACTTTGATCATCATAAGTTTGTTTTCTATGTCTGTGAGTTTGTTTCTGTTTTGTATATTCTATTCATTTGTTTTATTTTTTAGTTTCCACACATAGGGAATAATATAACAGTATTTGTCTTTATCCGCCTGACAATTTACTAAGCATAATATCCTTTAAGCCTATCTGTGTTGCAAATGGTTTTATTTCATTTTTTATGGTTGAATAGTATTTCATTGTGTGTGAGCATGCATACGTGTATGTGTGCATGTATGTGTGAAAAACTTCAGATTTTAAATGATAGTGTCTCATGAACCAGCAATTTTCTTTCCAGATGATAGGGGAAAACGAAAAGTCTCTTTGCGTCTACTGGGATGAGCCGGTCTGGTCTAATGAAGGGTGCCATGTGATCTTTTACAATGGAACTCAAACTGTGTGCAGTTGCAGCCATCTGTCCACCTTTGCCATCCTCATGGCCTCGGTCGAGCTGAAGGTATGTATATAAACACACATGACACTGAAAATCAGCTCTGCTGTAGGATGGTGCTGGGATGGAAGGCAGGGATCTTCAAAAAGAAGACGAAAAAATACTCACAGAGTAACAGCTATGTATCTTCTTCTCTTCTTCCTTTTTTTCTTTTCATTTTTTTTAAATTCAAGAATAATGCTTTACAATGCTATGTTAGTTTCTGCTGTACACCAACATGAATACGTACACCAACATAAGTGTGTGTGTGTGTGTGTGTGTGTGTGTGTGTATAAATATACTCCCTTCCCTTTTGAGTCTCCCTGTTACAGAACCCCCATCCCCCCGCTATTAAGTCATCACAGAGTACCAAGCTGAGCTCCCGGTGCGATACATCTTCCAGCTAGCTCTTTATTTTACACATGGTAATGTTCTTGCTTCAGGGCTACCTGAGAAGCCACAGTGTATATGTTCCAGTGCTGCTGTCTCAACTGGTCCCACCCTCTCCTTTCCCCTCTGTGAACACAAGTCCTTTCTCTACATCTGAGTCTCTATTCCTGCCCTGCAAATAGGTTCATCAGTTCTGTTTTTCAGGAAGATCCCCTGGAGAAGGAAATGGCAACCCACTCCAGTATTCTTGCCTGGAGAATCCCTTGGACAGAGGAGCCTGGCTGGCTATAGTCCACGGGGTCACAAAGAGGCGGACACGACTGAGTGACTAACCCTTTCTATATATGCGTTAATACAAATTTCTCTTTTCCCTGTTAAAAATATACAACCCTTTTAGGAGGTGTGTAGTGGTATCTCATTGTGGTTTTAATGTGTACGACCCTGATGACTAGTGGCGTGGAGCCTCTTTCCATGTTTTCATGGGGTAGAACTTGTGAGTGAAACACCCCTTGTATCTGGGAAACCTAGTCATCCAAAACCACTGCACTCAGCCTTTAGGAATTTCTGGTGGATTTCTTCATATGCAGTCCTGTAGCAACCACATCTTCCTTCTGTGCTCTGTTAAAATCGAAATAGTTCTCTCTCATCCCTCTTGGGAAGAACTTGAGTTAATGTTGCCTCTTTGCTGTGCAAACTTGGCTCTCCAATGAGATCAAGAAAAGTTACAATTCTGTTGGCTATCATTTTCTTATTATTGGGATGAGAGTCATGTTTCATTGTGATTTTCTAAATCTTTTTTAAAAATCAATTATTTACTTTCAGCTGCCTGGGTCTTCACTGCTGCATGTGGGCTTTCTCTCTTTGTGGTGAGCCAGGGCCACTCTCTAGTTGTGGAGCCCAGGCTGCTCATTGTGATGGCTTCTCACTGCGGAGGAGCCCAACAGTGGGCTCTAGGGCATGTGGGCTCACTAGTTGCAGCACACAGGCTCGGTAGTTGCAGCAGGTGGTCTCAGGAGTTGTGGCACACGAGCTTAGCTGCCCCACAGCATGTGGGACCTTCCCGGGCCAGGGATGAAACCCACGTCCCCTGCATTGGTAGGCCAATTCTTCACCGGTGGACTACGAGGGAACTTTGGTTTGGCCACTATTGATCTGCTCAGTTTCTCACGAGGAAATCAACACCATGCATGGAGGGTTCTAAGACCTGGGTTATTGGGAACCACAGCATCCAAAACAAAAATGAGCTGGAGTCTCTTTTCTCCTGCCGCATCTAGGAGGACCCCGTGCTGACCATGATCACCCACGTTGGGCTGAGCCTGTCTCTGCTCTGCCTCCTCCTGGCAGCCCTCACCTTCCTCCTGTGCCGACCCATCCAGAACACGAGCACCTCCCTCCACCTGCAGCTCTCCATCTGCCTCTTCCTGGCCTACCTCCTCTTCTTCACAGGTATCACACGGACAGAGCCCGAGGTAGGAGAATTAGCCAAATCCCTTTCTTACTTATTTTTTATTTTGGCCATGCTACATGACTTGTAGGATGTTACCTCCCCCAACAAAAGATTGAACCTAAGCCCACAACAGTGAAAGTGTCAATTCCTAAACTGGACTGCCAGGGAATTCCCTTCTTCTTTTTATAAAACAGCTTTTCTTTCATTTTTATTGGAGTATGGTTGCTTTACAAGGTAGTGCGAGTTCCTGTTGTTCAGCAAAATGAGTCAGTCACACATACACATATATCCCTCCCCTCTGGGCTTCCTGCTCATTCAGGTCCCCAGAGTGCATTAGGGAGAGTTTCCTGGGCTGTACGGTAGGCGCTCATTAGTTATCTATCTTATACATAGTGTCAACAGTATAATCCATACATATATAGTTTGCCCTTTTTAAATGTACATGTCAGTGGCTTTCAGTATATTCATGGAACTGTGTATTCCCTCGGATAACTTATTACTCATTACACATTCATACCCACAAATTACATCAGCCTTATCATTGCAACCCCTACCTCTGTCTCCTGGCAATCAGGTTTTTACTCTTTTCTTTTTTCAGGAATCTGAGATTTTTCAATTCCACGAATAAAGGATTATACAGTACTTGTCTCTGACAATCTCCTGAGCATAGCTCAAGGTTCACTCATGTTGTTCCAGAAGGCAGGAATCCTCCTTTCTCATGGACAGACAGTACATTAGATATGTTGTTGGAAAACTCCACAGACAGAGGAACTTGGTACCACCCATGTCTATAATAGATATAAATATGTTGTTATTTAGTCAAAGTTGTGTCTGACACTTCTGCAAGTCCATGGACCATAGTCCTCCAGGCTCTTCTGTCCATGGGATTTCCCAGGCAAGAATACTGGAGTAGGTTGCCATTTCCTCCTCCAGGGGATCTTCCTGACACAGGGATCAAACCCACATCTCCTGCATTGGCAGGTGGGCTCTTTACTTCTGAGCCACCAGGGAAGCCCAGATATAGAAACAGAGATATAAAACTGTCACCCAGATCAAGATATAGAACATGCAGAGTTTTCTTCATGTCCCTTCCCCCAGTTAATTGTCAATTTAAAAACTTTTACAGACTGAGTGAATGATGCACAGTGGAGATGGGTCCTAAGGGTCACTGATTTATGATTCCAAGCTAGCAGGTTTGATATCAAACATGTGTTTCATGCAACAGCATCTCCAAGGAGTGAGGCGGAGAAACAAGGAAGTGAGTGGAGTTTTGTAAAGATTGAGAGGTTGCTATAAAGACTCAGGACATGATTTCTAAGAGAGGAGGGTTTTATTTATCATGAAAAGAGAGTCATGGTCCAGAAGAGTGCATGAGAGGTGTAGAAGAAACCCAGTTCCCCTCAGACAATGGAGAGCGGTCATTGTTCTCTTGAAATGTGTGGAAAGCAGTGTCCTCAAACAAAAGCCAGGTCATACTTTAATCAAAGACATGGGGTGGGGGCGATCATTTCCCTGGTGGTCCAGTGGTTAAATTCCACACTTCCAATGCAGGGAGCGTGGGTTTGATCCCTGGTCAAGTAACTAAGATTCCACATGCTGCGTTGTGCAACCTAAAGAGAGGGGGAAAACTGATGTTTTCAAGTTCCAGTGGTCCTAAAGACATGGAGGGAACATTCAGTGAAGATGAAGAAGGGTGGGGGAGGGCTTGCTTACTACAGAAAAGGTCATTCAAAGCAGATTCTGTCATAATGGAGGAAACCATTAGCTGTTGGCTCAAAAGAGAAAACTATGGGGCTTTATGGGGATAAAAATATTAGAGGACCATGGCTGGTTCATGTCAGTGTATGGCAAAAACCACTACAATATTGTAAAGTAATTAGCCTCCAACAAATAAAAATAATTGGAAAAAAAATTAGAGGAGGCACTCATTCAATCACTCATTCATGTACCCAACATATATGCCACACAGACCAGAGTGACTTCAGTTCTGGGCAGTGACCAAGATGGAAGAGATGGTGATCACGGCAGGACAAGCTGGCCATAAGCTTTATACGAGGATTTTCATCCTCAGAAGGGGGCAAGGAGGTGGTCAAGGGTTCTTGGGATGGAGACAGCCCTGGCCAGCACCAGTTTCACCCGACTCAAGAGAAGTCTAGCATCCGTCAGCCAACAGGCAAAGGGCTATCTGATTTCTGCAGTCTTCAACACACTTTGAATATTGTCTTCTTCCGTTTTAAGATGGACAAAGATCTCCTTGACCTTTACTTGGCTAGCTAGCTGCTTTGGCTGCGCTGAGTCTTCACTGCTGCGAGCTCTCTCCAGTTGCGGCGAGTGGGAGCTACTCCTCCTTGCAGCACCTGGGCTTCTCACTGTATGGCTCCTCTTGTTTCAGAGCATGGGCTTTAGGGCTCGGTCTTCAGTAGTTGTGGTGTTTGGGCTTTGTTGCCCCATGGCCTGTGGAATCTTGCCAGACAAGAGATCAAACCCTTGTCCTCTGCACTGGCAGATGGATTTTAAGCCCTGGACCACCAGGGAAGTCCCCCATTCAGCTTTAAACATGATACATTTTCAGTTTTTCTTGGGTGGCCCAAGTGACATCCGGCCAAGGCATGGGAATAGACAAGGGGGACCATCCATCCGTTTGGAGACATGACTCTAAAGAGAAGAAGGACATGTGAAGAAGGCTAAGGAGCATCCCTCACCAAAGTTTCCCAGAGACAACCCTGGTGAAGAGCATTGACCCCAGAAATGCTCCAATGGGCCCCCCTCTCCCCTCCAGGTGCTGTGCAAGGTCATCGCAGGTGTACTGCATTACCTCTACTTGGCCGCCTTCACCTGGATGTTCCTGGAAGGGCTGCACCTCTTCCTCACTGTCAGGAACCTCAAGGTGGCCAACTACACCAGCGCAGGCAGATTCAAGAAGAGGTTCATGTACCCTGTAGGCTACGGGGTCCCAGCGGTGATTGTGGCTGTGTCAGCCGCGATCAACCCCCAAGGATACGGCACCGCTAAGCAGTGAGTACGGGGCTGGAAATGTGCTGTCGGGGACGTGGGCACACACCTGTCTCCGTGGGAAACTGAGGGAGGAAGGAAGGGTTGAGTAGATCATGACTCAGGTTGAGAATAAAGATGCTGAACATTTATTTCTCCAGCCCCTGGGGTGAAGTGTTTCATATACACCATTTCTCATGTCTATCAAAACATCCCTAGAGGAAAGTGCTCCAATTGTTCCCATTTTGTATACTAAGCAAACAGGTTTAGAGAAAAAAGATGAACGACTAGTGTAAAGTAACACAGACAGTAAACTGGAAGGAGAATGAATTTTTATTGTTTATAGAAATGTCTATATTTATAAATGTCACATGTTTATAGATCTTTGCTACTTCTATTACTGAAAGTAACAACTGGTTTTAAAAATATAATATTCTAATAAAGAACCTCTGTAATACCACTAAGCCCAGTATGTGTTAGTCACTCAGTCACGTCTGACTCTGCAACCCCATGGACTGTGGCCCACTAGGCTCCTCTGTCCATGGAATTTTCCAGGCAAGAATACTGGAGTGGATTGTCATTTGCTACTCCAGGGTATCTTCCTGACCTAGAATTCAAACCCATGTCTCCAGTGTCTCCTGCTTTGGAAGGTGGATTCTTTATCAACTGCACCACTTGAGAAGCCCCTTAAATATATATAAATATACATGTAAATATATATATTTTTAAAAATGGGATCATGATAAAGATACTGCATGTAATTTGTTTATTCCCTTAATACTCTCCAGACCAGAATATTGGAGTGGGTAGCCTTTCCCTTCTCCGGGGGATCTTCCCAACCCAGGATCAAACCCAGGCCTCCCGCATTGCAGGCAGATTCTTTACCAGCTGAACCACAAGGGAAGCCCAAGAACACTTGGGTGGGTTGCCTATCCCTTCTCCAGGGGATCTTCCTGACTCAGGAATCAAACCAGGGTCTCCTGCTTTGCAGGCAGATTCTTTGCCAACTGAGCTATCAGGGAAGCCCAATATATATAATATACATGTAAATGTATATTTTTTATAAAAATGGGATCATGATAAAGGTACTGCATGTAATTTGTTTATTCCCTTAATAATATGTAGTGGACATTTTCCACATTATTAGTACAGATATATATCATGATTCAATGTATTACATTGTATATTCTTACCATCTTTATAAAATTAATCTCTAAGTGATAGACATCTGAAATTCTTTACAAATTTTTGCTATCATAACCAAATGCTTCCATAAACTTGAAGAAGCATGAATTCTAGACTCAATTATCTGATTCCAAATTTCAAGTTTCCTCACTTAACTAGCCTGGTGACTCTGGGGACAGTTACTTTCCTAGGTTTTCTCACCTGTAAAATAAGGACAGTAGTACTATCTACTTCCAAGTATTAGAATGGTACCTGACACATGTAAATGCTTATATGCAGGCTCAGTCGCTTCAGTTGTATCCAACTCTTTGTGACCCTGTGGACTGTAGCCCACCAGGCTCCTCTGTCCATGGGTTTCTCTAGGTAAGATAACTAGAGTGGGTTGCCATGCTCTTCTCCAGGGCCTCTTGCCCGCACAGGGGTTGAACCCAAGTCTCCTTCATCTCCTGCATTGCATGCAGATTCTTTACCAGTGAGCCACTGGGAAGCCCAAAAAATCCTATGTAAATATTATCTATTGCAGATCATTTATTGTATTCCATTACTTTTTTAAAATGCTGCTACTCTTGCTTTCTGTTTTTCAGTTGCTGGATCAACATAGAGAAAGGATTTATCTTGAGTTTCTTAGGACCCATATCAGCAGTCATCTTGGTAGGTTTGTAGTGTCTGTCTGTCTCAGGTGCCATGTATATATAGAGATTATGTGTGTCTGGTATGTAGTATTCAGCTTAATTTGAAGATCAAAAGAGGTACTATTTTTAATTGCAGTATGACTGATTTACAATGCTGTGTCAGTTTTGGGTGTACAGTAAAGAGATTCAGCCAAATATATAATGGAAAGTAAATTGAAAAAATTTTATATATATATACACTTTTCAGATTCTTTTTCATTATACATTATTACAAGGCATTGAATATAGTTCCCTATGCTATACAGTAAGTCATTATTGTTTACCTGTTCATATACAGTAATGTGCATATGTTAATTCCAACCAACTAATTTATCTTTCTCTCCACTTCCCCTTTGGTAACCATAGTTTGTTTTCTGCTTGTTGGTCTATTTCTCTTTTGTATTTAAATTCATTTCTATATTGATTTTAGATCCCACATATACGCAAGAGCATAATATATTTGTCTTTCTCTGACTTAACTTCACTTAGTATGATAATCTCTAGTTGTAACCATGTTGCTGCCAACGGCATTACTTCATTCTTTTTATGACTGAATGATGTTCCATTGTATATATGTACCACATCTTCTTTATCCATTCCTCTGTTGATGAACATTTAGGTTGCTTCCAACGTCTTGGATAGTGTAAATAGAGCTGCAGTGAACATAGGGGAACATGTATCTTTTCAAAATATGGCTTTCTCTGGATGCATGCTCAGGAGTGGGATTGCTGAATCGTATAGTAGTTCTAATTTTACTTTTTAAAAGAATCTCCATACTGATCTCCATCCTGGTTTTACCAATTTATATTCCTACCAACAGTGTAGAAGGGCAAAATAGGTACAATTTTAACATTCATTTGTTTCCTTTTCATATAAGATGTTTGAGTAAATGTATTCATTTAAAATTTTTTGAGCATATTTTTGCCATCCAGAAGTCTACAAACAATAAATGCTGGAGAGGGTGTGGAAAAAAGGGAACCCTCTTACACTGTTTTTGGGAATGCAAACTAGCACAGCCACTGTGGAAAACAGTGTGAAGATTCCTCAAAAATCTGGAAATAGACCTGCCATACAACCCAGCAATCCCACTGCTGGGCATACACACCAAGGAAACCAGAGTCAAAAGAAACACATATACTCCAATGTTCACTGCAGCACTGTTTACAATTGCTCAGACATGGAAGCAACCTAGATATCCACTGGCAGACAAATGGATAAGGAAGTTGTGGTACATATACACAATGGAATATTACTCAGCTCTAAAAAAGAATGCATTTGAGTCAGTTCTAACAAGTGGATGAAACTAGAGCCTATTATACAGAGTGAAGTAAGTCAGAAAGAAAAGCACCAATACAGTATATTAACACATATATATGGAATTTAGAAAGACAGTAACAATAATCCTATATGCAAGGCAGCAAAAGAGACACAGATGTAAAGAACAGATGTTTGGACTATATGGGAGAAGGCGAGAGGGGGATGATTTGAGAGAATAGCATTGAAACATGTATTTTACCGTATGTAAATAGATGACCAGTGCAAATGTGATGCAAGAAGCAGGGCACTCAAATCCGGTGCTCTGGAACAGCCCAGAAGAGATGGTGTGGGGAGGGACACCATCTAGGTGGTGGGCTTCAGGATGGGGGAACACATGTGCATCCATAGCTAATTCATGTTGATGTGTGGCAAAAACCACCACAATATTGTACAGTAATTATCCTCCAGTTAAAATAAATAAATAAATTTTTTAATGACAAAAGTAAAAAAATTTTTAAAGGAAAAAATATTTTGAGCACATTTAAATGCTGATGAATAGAGAAGAAATCATCCTCGTATCTCTAATATCTAGCATACCATACATACTTAATATATATTTGTTGAATAAACCAGTGAGTGGATGTATAAAAATATAATTGTGAATATGATAGGATTATGTAATTTGGAAGTGATTTCACTAAGTGTTTTTAAATCTTCTTCAGTTTTTATGTTTGTTCAACTCAGGATATAGTCTGATTAGTCAGTTTAGGCTAAAGTGTGCTACAGTGACAAAGAAGTCCCAACATCCCAATGGCTTGACAGAGCAAATACATTTTTGTGTGCTGTTTTGGCAAAGCCCAGAGTGGATCAAGAGGCTCCTCCCCATGAGAGTCAGCCTTACTTTCTTTATGGCTGTGCTGGCTCTTCCTTGCTTTGTGCAGGCTCTCTCTGGTTGGGTGAGCAGGGGCTCCTCTTTATTGGGTGTTCAGGTTTCTCACTGAGGTGGCTTCTCTTGTGGAGCACAGACCATAGGTGTGAGGGCTTCAGAAGTCACAGCACATGGACTCAATAGTTCTGGCACATGAACTTTGTTGCTCCAAGGCATGTGGGATCTTCCCAGACCAGGGATTGAACTCGTATCTCCTATATTGGCAGGCAGATTGTTAGCCCCTGTGGCACCAGGGAAGTCCTCGGCTTTTCTATTATTTTGACACATGACTTCATTGGTTGTTCCTGGAGGGGAAGAGAGTTGAAGACTGTAGGATTCAGGCATATGTCACGGTGACCAACATCTCATCCACTAGAATTCAGCCACATGCCCCAGACTATCTGAAGTGAGCCTGGAAAATATCTGCCCATGGCCCATGTGTGCAAGGAAAGGCATTGGTGGAGACACCACACTGCACTGTGTTTGTGCCGCCTGACCACCCATGCACGTTCTTTTGTGGGCTTTCAGGAGCTCCTTGGTGGTATTGTACAAGTATCCCCAGCCTGCTCCAAAGGAATTTCAACATATTTTTAAACTATTTGGCTGTGCTATGAGGCATGTGGGATCCTAGTTCCTGACCAGGGATGGAACCTGCATCCCCTGCATTGGAAGCATGGAGTCTTAACCACTGGATCACCAAGGAAGTCCCCAAGTTTCAATATATTCTAACCATAAAATCTCATACCTTTTCCCATGATCTTCAGTGCCTTCTATTTTGACTCCCTATGTTTTTTCTTAGGGTATAGTTGCCTTGCAATGTTGCACAGCAAAGTGCATTAGCTATAGCATGTAGCATGTTAGTCACTCAGTCATGTCCAACTCTTTGTGACTCCATGGGCCAGAGCCCACTAGGCTCTTGTGTCCATGGAATTCTCCAGGCAAGATTACTGGAGTGAGTTGGCATTCCCTTCTCCAAGGGATCT